TGAGCGAGTGCGAGTGCCCCCACATAGAACAATTGATGTGTCAATTGAGTGTCATGGAAAAATTACGTCCATTATTGAGGTCATTATTGTGGTATTAGGAAAAACAATACGGCGAAAATACGGGGAAAATGGTATATACCAGGAAAAACAATGCGGGGCAAAGCCAATCTACAGGAGAGACATGAAATGTATATAGGAATTTATCGTAGCTCAAATTGTGAGAGGTCAGAAAACATATTTGTTGTTGAGAGAGAGAGAGAGAGAGAAAGGTAATCAAGTGGGTTTATTCGGGACAGGCTGCTGCTGCTGTTGTTCGGATAAGTGCCACAGATTTTCGGTGGGCGGGCGGTAGGTGTGGGTGGATTTATGGGCATATTCAATGCATGACTCGATTGCTCGTTGATTAGAGACCATATTGATAACATTTATCAATGGGCTTTCGGGTCTATGGCAAGTGGAATACTGTGTGGGGCATTTGCCATATTTCAATGCCCATATTCTGATAGATTTCATGGTCCTTCAGATTAGTGCCACTATTAAGCTTTTTATGCCCGCATTGCTAGTGAGAGACTGCTACAGCATTTCTCTTAGCATTTTCCTTTCAAAATACAATAGACTATGTCGGATAATGCCCTACAAATTAAAGCTGCGGTACATCTTTCATGCTCTAGTTCATTCGAAACTATAGATTATGTCCCCTAATTCCTTGCCTAGCCAAAATCTATTCACAGAAACATCTGCTCGGCAATCTACCATCGGCCTGAAACTTCTCTTTTTGCTCGGTAATACAAATCCCCATTCCATTAGCAAACGGCAGGCATTCCCACTGTCCCACTGTTAATCCGCTTTGCTGGATTTTCTACCCAACCGACCCCCCTGCTAAAAACTTTCGGTGCAGGCAGAGAGAGTGAGAGAGCCTCCGGCTAATTGTGGCACACAATTGTGTGGCAGAGAAGGAGTCCTAGTAGGGAGGGGGGGCAGAGTGTCGTGGGAAAACGGAGTGACAGAAACTTGTTCCAGCTGCAAAATAAAGTTTAAAATAATCAACTTTTGTCATAAATTAAATGAAGAACTGAAGAGGAGCAGCAGCAGCAGCAGGAGCCGTACAAAAATTATGGAAAAGCGAGAAAAGCGAGAAAAGCTATTAACTGAAAGTCAGCGAGCGGCAAAAGGGGCAAGCAAAAGACACTCAGGGGGCCAAAGGGCAGTCAGAAGTAGTTGCCTGGACAGGGGTTATAGTTCTTCTACTAGTACCTCCACGAACAGGAAATTTCCGAGGATGCAACAGTGGATGGCGGCATGTGGCAGTGTCAGCGTCAGTGGCTAACAAAAGAATCACAAGTGGAAACTGCAATGTGCAGCCAAAAGCCAAATGGCCATCGTCTACGATATTGTTGTCTGCTCTGCTTTGCTCTGCTCCTGCTGTCTGCTGTTCCCGTCCTGTCTGCCGTTCTGTTCCGCGTATTCGGGCATTCTGTTTGGTGTGTGTGTGTTGCAGAAGTTAAATGCACCTGCCCCACCAGTACATATCAATGGTGGGAGTCTTGTCTGCGCCTCTGCTTGATTTTTCTTTGTTGCAGGTGCCAAAAGTTGCAACAGCAAAAAGGAAAACCAGAAAACAGCACAAACCATGAAACAAACTTCATGGTGCGTGAAAAAAACATTGATGCTCGTAGTGGCAAGCGCTGCGATTGCATATGCAAAAGAGTTCACCAAAAATGCCGAGCCAAGGCAGATACTAGTGTACAGTGGGTGCTGGCTATGAAGCACCAAGGGAATTCTGTTGCTTAGAAAGTTTCCAATGAAGAGGCCAATGCAGAAAGTGCTTGAGAGAATGTTAATGAAGCCAAAAAGTGTCTGATAAATTCTGAGAATTTATGGAGGAAATCTAGGAACTCTAGACGCAAGCAGAACTCGTAGGAAATTGTATAAAATCCCATGAAATCTGCGACAAAGAAAGGTTTCAATTCTCTTCGAACTTACCAAGAAGGATGCCATAGACTATACGCTGTACAGCGCTCTGTGGAACTGTAGGATATAGATTATATATACAGCAAGGAGATAATAGCATGGATATAGCATAAAAGGAGATGTTCGCATTTGGACTCATAAAAGTACGTTAAAATAAATGGACAAGAGGCAGCATCAAAGTTTTCCAACTAGTTACTGACTCATTTTAAACTTTTGCTTTGTATTTTTTTAAAGGTTTTTCCATTACAAATTTTTTCTATAATTACTTGTTTAGTAGTTTTCATATATTTCTTTCAACAAAATACATAGCTTTCGGCTATAGCCAGTGTCCACTGTATTGTGCGAATGAGGTGTCAAAGCAAACAGCGCCAAAAAGTATGCAACGAGCGGCCAGCCGGCGCACATCCAGGCATAAAGTGTGGTGAAAAAACGTGAGAAGGGACAGAGACAGAGTCTGTGAGAGACAGATAGAGAGAAAGAGAGAGAGAGAGAGCTTTAAAGCCAAAAGAGAGAGTGTATACTTAAGAGTGTTTTCTGTCGCTCTCTTAAGTGCTTTATTCGCTCTCTCTCTCTGCATGTCTCTCTCGTTGGCGTCACGCGAGTATTTGCATTGTGGCCATGTTCCAATGTTAAGTTTCCGGCACGTTTTATAAACAAACCTCAGACCCTGGCAAAAAAAACGGTGAAAGAGAGCGAGCGAAAGATAGTAAAAGTGGGAGTGGGAGGGCGGGAGAGAGAGAGAGAGTAATTTTATTTACCGTTTTTACCCCCCAATGTCAACAGAGTCCCCTCGTGTTTTTTTTGCTACGATTTTCTTTTGTGCCGTGGAGGAGGAGTGGAGAGAGGAGAGCCCGAGCCACGACGAATGCAATGCAAATCGAACATATCAAAATCGCATAATGCGGAACGTGATAATGCAACAAATCAAGTGAAGTGCAATCCCCAATCCCCCGCCCCGACCGACCCCTAAACTTCCCGCGATAGAAGCCTCCGCCATTAGCCATTCGCCTCGAGGCTCAATCAGGGATATTTACGCACAAAGGAGCCGAGTGAGAGGAGAGAGAATCGACAGAGAATGACAGCCAAACCGCCGCCTCCAGTGCCGCCCACATTGGGCGGTGATGATGCCACAGGACATGGCCCCAAACTGGCGCCCGAGATACCACGCCTCAACTCCGAACTGGCCGCCCAGGCGGCGCTCCGGGGCCAGCAGCTGCTGAGGAAACAGAGCTCCCAGGAGCAGCAGCAGCAGCAGCAGCAGGGGCAGCATCACAACACACTGCCAGCGCACAAAACGGGGGGACCACCGCCACTGCCACCGCAGCAGAGTCGCCCCGTGCCGGCGATACCAGCCCGAGGAGCCAGCGATAGGGCGGCGCCACCGGAGATACCGCCCAAGCGGCACAGCCTCAAGAGTCTGCCCGATGGGCAGGCGATGGTGGTGCCGGGACTGCCGCCGCCGATGAGGCAACCACCGCCACTGCCCAAGAAGCCAGCCTCCGCACAGAGTTCGGCTCAGAGTTCGGCACAGAACTCGCCCTTGGTGGCCATGAAGTTCAAGGAGAAGCCACCGCCGCCACCAGAGAAGCACTCAACGCTGTCTGCTGAGGGCATGGCCGCCAGACGATGTTCAAATCCCTTTGAGATGCCGCCCCCGCCGCCGCCATTGGTGCTGCAGTCCGCTGTGGCAGCTTTGAGCGAACAGAGCTCCAAGAACGCCCTAAATCCGGTGCCATCCCCAGCGCCCACGAGGGCCAGCGAGGCGAAGAAAATCAACCAGCGCCCGTCGATGATTGCCGCCTCGCCCACCGAGGAGTTTGGCTCCGAGGACGCCCTGCGAGGTATCGAGAGTGGCCTGCGGAACATGGAGCGGGCCATGCAGGAGCAGATGAATCTCCGGAATATGGAGGCGGCGGTACAGAATAATTTTGACCTGAGCTTCAAGGCGAGTCTGGCGGCCGGGACACGCCACTTGGGCGGCGGATCCGTGAATCTAAGGACCGCCAATTACGAGAGGAATCTCTCGCTGGATGAGGGACGGGCAGGAGACTCGCGACAATCACTGGAGGAGCTGAAACAGCTGCGGGCCCAGGCCCAACAGCAATCGCTGCACAATTCCTCCTCCTCATCGTCATCCTCGCACGTGGAGCAGTCCATGCGATCCACCATCGAGCATCACATGCGATCCCTGGATCGTAATCTTCCGCTGGAACTGCAATACAGTCGCCATCGCTTCCAGAACAATCTCTCGGCCGTGGGTGTTGCGGCAGCTGCTGCCGCGGCCGGGGCAAATCCTGCCCTGGGATCCGTCTCCAATGGAGGCTCCTCCGGTGGTGGTTCCGCGTCCTCCCAGCAGCCACCGATGCCGCTGAGCAGCGAATTCCGTGAGCAGATCCGACAGCAGCTACTGGGGAACATACCACCCCAGGTGGTCCACAATATGGGCCCGTCGCCGGGCTCTGCGGCCGCTGCCGCCCTGCTCCAGCATCAGGCCCAATCGCGGGCTGCCGCCGCCGCCGCTGCTGCTGCTGCCGCTGCTCAGGTGCAAGCCGCCGCCGCTGCCGCCGCTCAGGTGGCCGCTGGAGGGGGACTGTCGCGGGAGGAGCTAAGAATGCGACGCCGTTCCTCGCACGATGAGACGCAGCTCTCGCAGAATGCCAGCAACGGTGGTGGGATGCAGGGTAAGGATCAGGGAAAGAGAAGACAATAAATCCGATAAAAGAGTAATAAATATTCGATATACTTATTTGTATTTAATTTTTGTATTATTTTTGTTATATTTTTAAGTTCCATAAGCAAAGAGGAATATTTGAACCAGAATTTTTCTGATTTCTGGCTTAAGAATCATTGGGAAATAATACTCAAGCTACTGCTTGTCACATGCCATCCTTCCCATTAGTACCTTTTCTTTCTCTTCCCCTAAAAAAATCTTCCAATCTCTACAGAAAATTCTAAACATAATTTCCATCTATCATTTCTATACATTTTCTTTTCTATGATTTCTTTACACTCTCTGGGACTCCTCATAGAGTTGAAACAGTTCTGTCTAGCACCGCATTGTTCGGCGGACTTAGATTATATGCGTTGCTGTTTGAAAGGTAACCAAAGACCGGCGGTTGGAGTGTTAATGTTGTGTAACCTTAACCCCACACAGGGCCCCCCCTTAATTTTAACCCCCCTAATAACAGCACAAACACGAACCCCAGAACAAAACGTTAATTAAAGTTTTTTACTAAAAGAAATTGCATGCTGGGGCCCACAGAAACGAGGCAGAGAAACCTCTGGCTAATCTTTTGTTTTAAATATAATTAATATATATACCATTTAACCTTACTCCAAAAGTATATTATTTACACCAAAGTTAATCCAATACTCTGTTTATTTGTAACAGTAACTCGGTTGAGAGAGCACTGGGATGAGACCCAACAGTGCGTCCTGCAGCGTGCTGCCCAACTGAAGAACATGCTGAGTGACTCGCAGCGGTAGGTGGCATTTGCAGCAAAGCACACAGCACACAGCACGCAGCACACAGCACGCAGCACACAGCACAAAACTTGACACCCACTTAACCTCCACTTTGACCCTTTCCTCTAATTAATCCGACAGGTTTGAGGCGAAACGCTTGGAGCTGGAGAAGTGGCTGGCCCGCATGGAGCAAAGGGCAGAGCGAATGGGGACTATAGCAACCACAGCCGACATTCTGGAGGCCCAACAAAAGGAGCAAAAGGTAAATGACAGGCAGTCGCAGTCGCAGTCCCTTTGAATGGCATTTCCATGACAGTCTATCCATCACTAATTATGTTTGCATTTACCCTTTTCCCTTTTGACTGTAGTCCTTCCATGCGGAACTGCATCAGAATAAGCAACACTTCGATATCTTCAATGAATTGACACAGAAACTAATTGCCGTCTATCCGAATGATGATACCTCAAGGATCAAGAAGATGACGGAGGTTGTTAATCAACGGTAGGTGATACAAAAAGAGAAGGAAGAATCCCTCTACGGAAAGCTTCTACAGCTTACGGCAGATGAAGTTTTATTAATTATTTATTTTATTTATCCATAATAATCGCATATTCCCCTTTGCAGTTATTCAAACTTAAACAATGGCGTCATCAATCGTGGCAAACAATTGCATGCCGCTGTCCATAGTCTTCAATCCTTTGATCGGGCCATGGATCAGGTATGTAAGCAAAGTAAACCCCCAAAAATCATCACTCATATTTGTATCTTTCCCTGTAGTTCCTCGCTTTTCTTTCGGAAACGGAAACTCTATGTGAAAATGCTGAATCTGAAATAGATCGCAATCCATTAATGTTCAAGGTAAGCATTTTTTGTATATCTTTCTCTTCCTTTTTTTTATGATCTTTGAACTGTAAAACCTGCTGCTGACATAATGATATACACAATTCTATAACAATTTAAAGCCAATTGACAGATTTATGCAGTGTATATATGAGGAATTTCTTATTGTTCAGTTGGCAGTGGCTGTGGCTGTGGCTGTGGGTTCATTGACTCGCCGATTCTCCGATTGTTTGCTGCTTGACCATATGCGATCAGAGAGTGTGCGATGATGCTGTACAGTGTTCCACTGCGAGTGGAACAGTGGCATGGATTGTGTAAAAAATGTGCAGAAATATTGAAAGTTTATTTTGACTGCGCTTGAAGATATTTCTTTATAGAGATTTTACAAAGATTTGATATAGGTTTTTTTTTGTATATTTAAAAGGGGAATGCTTGCAATAATAATATTTACAGTCCTTTAGCTATCTTTTAAGAAAATATTTTGGAATACATTTTCCATTTGTTACCCACATTTTCTTACATATTTCCCCACCATTTCTTATGTGTATATTTGTTCCCCCAAAGAGTGGTTCCTATAATATGCATTAATTACTTCTATCTTCCATCGATAATCTTGCACCAGAGAAGCAGTTTCCTCGTGTATCCAGATCAAGGGCTGAACTTCAAAACACTTGAACTTCGCTCAAAGAATGACTCATGGGTGCACATTCGTATTCAAATTTGAATCAAAAACGGAACCGAGAGTCTGCTTCTTTGAGCACTTAATGTCTCGATTGCAGTTGCAATCAGGAATTGGCATTGTGGCTGCCACAAATGAGCGGGGGAGATGCACTTATTAATGGGTGGACTCTAGAGAGGAACCTAGAGGGGCATTCCGTTCCCCCAGCCCCACAAGGAGACTCTCCAGAATTCAGTGTGGCGCGCGCGTCTCTCAAGTGCCGCATCTCGTGGCGTCTGTTTATTTGGATTGCCTCGAAACAATTCCCCATTCCCCCCGGCATCTATTTATTGTGGTGGGGTGCCTGTGACTGAGGCTGAGGCTGCCTTCCACTTTTCCCTTAATTACACATTCGCCTACTTAAGATAATTATTGTAAAATGCTTTTTATATTCGCTTTTCATTCAAATACGACTACGACTAAGAGTATATCCACCCTCAATATTCTTCTCTTGGCTCTGCCTTTGCCTTTGAGTTTTCCAATTCAATTATAATTATTGTTATGGCTTTTTTGTTTGAGTCTTGTTCTAAATGCAAATTTTCTTTCACTCCCATTGGAAATTCCTTAAGGGGAGGCTGCGGAAAGTCCAGTATGTTTTAGGCAATAACAATTACATTCAATTGATATCTGTTTTTTAATTTAAAAGTTTAATTTATTGTAAGTTATATTTTTTTTTGCTCAAATCCTTATTTTTCGTTATTTTTTCTTTCCCTGAAAGCTTTTAAGGGTTCTTAAACAGGATAAAGGGTTTTCTTGCTAAATTTCCTTTTCAAACTTTTGTCTGAACCTTTGGGACAATACAAATTTTATTGCGCAGGCGCATTGTCTTTCTGAGGACAGCTTTTTCTCTCCACTTTTCATGTTGGCAATGCTGCCCCATGCTGTGAGTAAAGCTTTAGAAAATGTCTCCAATTCACTCAATTCACAATTCGTTGTCTTTGGCGCGCTTTTGCCTATACACTTTCTTGTGGTTTTATCACAAATTGGGGGTACGAGTATATGTAATATATAAAAAACAAATTGACAATTATATGGGCTAAGGGCATTCTTTTATTCAGTTCAAACACACGGGTAGTATTATTTTTTGGCATTGTATTTATTAGTATTATTTATGGTGTTTTAATTCATTTTCTTTAATATTTCCATTTGTGTTATATTTTTTTAATGTAGGGCATTCGCTAGTCGACTTTCCATCTCATTTCTGTCCATTGTTTTTGTTTATTTTGCCGGCTACTACCTGCCGTTATTTTAGCCGGCTGTTTTACGCTCTCTCTTCTTGCGCCCCTCTCTCGCACACCCACTCTAAGATTTTTGTGTAGACTCTGAGAGAGTCAAAACAAAAAAAGTCTCCACTCTCTGTTTCGTTCTCTGTTTTTGTTATCTCGGCTAAAACCGCCACCCACCCGAAGCGCCACCCACAAAAACCCGAATGTCGAATGCCGATACCCTACAGAGCAGCCGACTCCACGACCGACGACGCTGTCGATGATAGCCGAACCATATTCCTATTTTGGATAAACAGACCAGCTACACCAGCTGGCTGCTGTCGCTGCCTCAGTCGCTGCTTCTGCCTCTGCCTCAGTCTCAGTCGCTGCCGCTGCTTGGATGCTGGCGTCTGTGCGGCGTTCGGGTTTCAGTTCGTTTTTTGAGATGCGCCCGGTCGCGCGTGTTTAACGGACAGCCCGACAATTTTTTAACCGGTTCCGGTTGTTAAGTGTGAACATTAAAAATTAATAGACGCCAAAACGAATTAAAATTACAAAGTAATATAGTTATAGAAAAAAATTAAAATAGTTTTATGAATTTTCTGCAAACCATTGCCTATCTTGAGGCGTACAATGTACTCTGGCCTCATGCCACATGCCGCATGCAACGTGCAATGTGCAACGCACACACTTGCAAATTGAATCCCCGCATTCATGCAACAATTAAACACAAATCTCGTCTCGAAAGCAAATGATGGAAGAGCCCATCGTCGACAGTGCATTCCTGCTGTGTGTTTGCCTTTCTGTGTGTGTGTGTGTGTGTGTGTGCGTGTGCGAGTGTGTTTGCCAGTGTGCCCATGCATTTTAAAGTGAAATGTGCATTAATTATGCACACATATTGCACTTACCCACACACCCTTACAATATACATTCATACAATACTCTCTCTCTCTCTTTCTGCACCACAATGTGTCTTTGTGTGCGCGTTCAGTGGCCGTGTCCGCTTAAAATGAAATTGAAATTGAAAATATTGTGACCACAAAAATGTTATGGAACGAAACTAATATTCCCTTTCGCTGTGCAAATTTCTAATCGGCTTATGAATTGTTTTGATGTCCATTAAATCGAAACATCTACTGCCATGGACGGATGGATTTTTCTGTGCACTTTAAAATGCTGCATTAAATATTTAATTCCTTTCAATATGGTGCATAAAGGCGAAATGTGTTTTTTTTTGCGCTGAAATGTTTGTTGGCAAAGTGTACTTAAATGCAACGTTACAATTAGCTTGCCGATTTTATTTGGTGATGTATTCAATTATGAATTGCTCTTTATGATTAACTTCAAAATGTGATACATTTCTAGGAGGTTCAGTAGAATTTAGAGCTACATAAATTCAGAATTGGGAAATAAATTAATTTTGAATGCGTAGTGTGGGTTTTTCCAAGAAGAGGTGTGGTATTTAGATGCTTGAACTGACGAAGTATTTCCCTAGAAGTGACGAAGTATTTCCCTGGAGTGATGTTGTGAATTTTTTGAGGTTTCAATTGGTGCTTTTGGTGTGTTCTTTTGAGCTTCTTATGTTTTTGTTATATATTTATTTATTTATTATTTGTTAGCTATAGTGTGCCATATTATGTTTATGTTAAAGTTAAAATTCTAAAAGTTAAACGAATGCAGAAATTATCTCAATAGATCTCCCAGCCATCCAAAGTCCAAGATCTTAGGCAATACCTTAGATAAAACAAAAGATAAAACAAGTGCTCAGATCTCTCAAATTCGTAGATCCCTCAAGTGCTTATCAACCACGAAAAAAAAACAGCCATCGTTTCGTCTTGGCCTTATTTTCTATGTCATAACTCAACCTTAACCCAGATAATTATCATCTTATCTTCTTTATAATTACGAAAAACTTAAAGAGAACTCTTCAAAAACTCTTCAGAAACACACACACAAACTGCCCTTTCAGCAGTCGCGTCTTAAACGGTAGCTCAAAACAGAAAGAAAAAGAAAACTTTCAAAGAGGCAGACGGGGGCCAGCCACAAAATCTCCATCTCCAAAGATCTCCCTCCATCGCCGAAGATCTGCCTGCATCTCCCAAAAAAAATGTGTTAACACGCTTGAGCATTGGTAATGGTAGAACCGAAAGCCGATTATGCATCTCAAATGCCAGAAAGAAATGTTCATTCATAACAAGATTTCCACACACTTTCCAACGAAAGATCTAAACCGAAAAAAACGATGTTGTCGCAGTGTCTTGTTTGGGGGTGTGGGTGAGACGACATTGGTCAGTGTCTCGTGAAAACAAATGTCAACCCGCTGGCAGTCTTGTCTCCCTGCACCAGGTCTCTGGAGGGAGGCTGTGTGTTGTGTGGTGCGGCATGGGGCATTACCTGTTGACGCGGCAGCAACACAAAAAACACACAGAAAAGCCAGAAAACAAAAGCGGCCCAAAAAGCAACAAGTAACCAAAAAAACAACAAGAAACAAAAAAATGCTCTAAACAGAAAGAAGTTTTTAATACCCTAAAAGAGATTAAACTGCAAATAATAGTCTTTTGATTTCTGATACTTTGATGTTCTGTAGAGGAATCTATCTGACTGCAGAAACATTTTTTATTTACCAGTTCAATGATATAGTTAGTCACCCTTTTTAAATGTAAATCTTGAGTTTTGAGTGCTCAAAAATTGTTTACAATGAAATAAATGTCAGAATATAATTTTCCTAGGGATAAATCATTTTTAGAACAATTATTTGCTTGCTCCAGTGCTTTTCTTTTTATATTAATTCCTATACTCATACCTAGAGCGAGAGGGTAAGCCCAATTCCACAGCAAATAACAAACCAAAAAAAAAAAAAAACCAGAGAAAAAAACGCGTGGGGGCTTTGTGAAGTTTGTTTGTTAGAAGCACTTGAAATTGTCTGACCGATTGTCAGTTGGTGTTGTTGTATCTGTTGCTGTTGCGACTTTTGCGTGGGTTCCTCCACTACACAAAAAGTTGTTTGATTAGTGACCAGAGATCTCTTGGCAGCAGCAGCAGCAGCCGCTCGTCGCGTATTAACTGTCTATTTAGCTAAAAATTATAATCACTGCATCCGATTTTGGTTTTGGTTGCCACACATTTCGGTTCAGATGATTGGATAGTTTTTCCAGTTCAGCTGCTTGAAGGTGCAGCCACTCAAGTTTGTTTTTCATTTTATGGAAATTTCAAAGACGCAGCTTAAGAGCCATCAAACTTTGAGGGTGTTTTGGTTGGTTGTTGATTGTTTTTGAGCGGGGGAATATAATTTTAAAAGGGGGCAAAAGTTTTTCTCCCAAACTTTAAGCATAATTCATAATTAAATAAACATTTTAGAATTATTATCTCTGGCACCCATATATCTCTTTTTCTTTTTTCCTATTTTCATTTAACGTTTAACGAAACTTCACTAAAAAACAAATTTTCATTAGAAATTATTTGTTTGGAAAATTGTCAAAGTTTGGGGGGAGTCAACCGAAAATTGTATGCTGGCTGGCTGACTGCATTATGAAGCACTTGAGAACTTTAATGATCGTCGCTTCTGGCTATGGGCAAGAGAAACAGCAGAGAAACATGCAACTAGAACAACATGCAACATCCAGTGGCATGAACACATGCCCGCAGGCACAATTCAAGTGCACTTTGTTAGACCAATTAATTTACATTTCCGCGCAAAAAGCATGGCCAAAAAAAGGGAAAAGGAAAAGCAGGCGAGCAGGGGAAAAGCAAATGCAAAATGAAAAAAAATAGAGAAAGGGAGAGAGAGAGAAAAAGTTTACATAGAAACAAAAGCAAAGCAGAGGTGCTGGGCAGAGGGAAACATGAAGTGGGGGGCGCCACTTGAAGGGAAGGCAATGGCCCTTGACTTGGACGTTGAACGGTGGCCCGACGATTGACCGGGGCCCCTGGACTCCCAGACTCCTGGCATTTCAAACACAAATGACCACCAGTCTATGTATGTGTGTGTGCACTGTATGCTGTGTGTGTGTGTGTGTGTATCTGTGTGAAGTCTGGTTAGTTTTTGATGAGCGTTTGGACTGTCGACTGTTGCCAGTTTTTGGAGTGCCTCTTGTCAGTTGCTGGTCAGCGGAATCACAGCGCGAAAATTGCTGAAACATTTTGTTGCATACATTTTCGAGGATGCAAATGGAAACAGAAAGGAAGCCACAGAGAGAGAGAAAGGGAGACGGATTTTCCGAGCGAGAAATACTCGCAATTTTAATTGCAGCCAAAACTCTATTAAAATCGGAGATCTTAGAAAGCATTTTCCCAATGCCAAATCCACTCTTTAGTTGCCTGAACTTCAGTCGCTTTATTTTACAGTATTATTTGTCAATTTACTTGCTTAATTTCGTACAGACTTTAAGCAGCCGACGACAGACCGGACCTATCTCAAGGTGCTGTAGAACACAGCCGCACAGACAATTGCCACGAGCACTGTGTACAGGCAGACGTTCAGGGCAATTATTCGAAATTTTCTCCATTTGTTTGGTTGCCTTTCGCGCATTAATTCCGGCAGTCTTCCTGTAGTCCGGCGACGCATGAAGGTGCTTCTCTGTATTCTCGGCGGCGGCGTCATTTCCGCGGAAGAGGAGCTCGTGTACTCCTCGGCGAGAGCCGGTGGGATTTTGCTTATCGGCGGTGGGGCATACACCCGTTTCAATGCGGACACTGGCGGCTCTTTTGGCTGCGGCGGTGGAGGGGGAGGCGGAACACGGAGCGATTGTGGATTCCTTAGGCCAGGAAGAATAGTCTTTCGTACAGGAGCAGCCGTTGGCGGTGGGGGAGGGGGAGGCGTCGGCGGCGGTGTTGCAGCAGATGGCGATGGCTGGGACGGTCTGCTGAAGAGGCTCTTTCTCTCCCCTGCAGGCGGAGTCTCTGGCGGAGCAGGAGGTGGTGGCGGCGGAGGCGTCGACTGTCTTCCAAATATACTACTCTTCCTTTCTGCAGGAGGAGGGCTCTGTGGTGCTGGCGCAGCAGGAGGCGATGCCTGAGACGGTCTTCCGAATATACTTCTTCTGTTCTCTCCTTCAGTAGGAGCAGACGGAGGCGGAGGCGGCAATGTCTGAGACTTTTGGCTCTTCCTGCTCTCACCTGCAGGAGCATTCGTTGGTGGCGGAGGGGGTGGCGGTGCAGCTGGAGGCGAGGCCTGAGACGGTCTTCCGAATAAACTTCTTTTCTTCTCTCCTTCAGGAGGAGCAGGCGGAGGCGGCCATGACTGAGACTTTTTGCTCTTCCTGCTCTCTCCTGCAGGAGCATTCGCTGGCGGCGGAGGGGGTGGAGGTAGCTGTAGCAATGTCGATCGAACAGTGCGTCGTGTGGCAGAAGGTGAACCAGTAGTCGGTGGAGTTGGTGGCCCAGGCGGCCGAGGCGTTGGTGGTGGCGCTGATGTTTCCCTTTTCCGTGCACTCCTTTTGGATATTGGCGAGGCTGTGTTTTCTTCTGGCGTTTCAGTCGCCTGCCGTGTATAGTGTTGCATTGTTGGCCAAATAAATAGATTCTTAAATGTTTCACACAAATAATATTTGATGTAAATA